CCCGGTGTCACTTTCTGCAGAAGGTTCCCTGAAAGTGGTCGGATAAGATCGATGGAGACGACCGTGGGATATCGGAATCTTCGGTTCCCAGCATTTTACGTCAGGCGTTGCGAGAATCTCCACCTTGACAGAGAGTCGAATGAACTTTCACGGCCATATGATTTCGCCGCGGCGTGCTGTTTTGGCGATCGGTGCCGCGATCGATCGAATCTAACAGAAAATGAGCTTGTCACTCCTAAACTATCGATTTCGCTGCTCTGATTGCTATTTTGAACTTTGGTCGAGATCGGTTTCTCCCGGCCTGACTCGACTCTCAGCTGAAAGCTCCTTGTAGCTTGAGAAACGATCTCTTGACACGAACTGAGACGCGATAACGACTCCTCAGATCTTCGTGAAAGTTGAAATCAGTTGCCAGGCTCGAAATTCTCGGATGATGGGGGAACATCCTCATACTAGGCTGCCGATTGATATCTGAGAATTTTCTCCGGTCAGACGAGGAAAGACCGCCGCGGACACCTTGTTCTTTGAGCCCGATTCGGCTTAAGCTTGATGACGATTTGATAACTTCACTTAACGAATGAAGCTCCGATAAGATTCGACCGGGTTCCTGTGGGAACGACTATCACCGGGACCGCCGCGGATGCAGGACCGAAAAATCTTCTGTCCGCTGTCGGTAGATACTATTTATTTCTTGATAATTGACGCCCGGTGAACGAAGTATTTAATCACATAACGACAGCTATCGCCAGCCGCAGTTGTAACACTTGTGAAGGTGTACAGAAACTTTTGCTCTCCGTATTTTCTTCGCTCGCTGTCGCTTTCGCGCCGTCGTCTCTCGCCAGGAAAAACTAAAAATCTTTCGCTTTCTCTACGGCCCGTTGCCTCGACTTCGCGTGAGACTCCTGACAGCAGCCGAAGCAGCCCAACCGTTGTTGAGCAGAAGCCCCACACAACATAGATCGTCGTCTACAGAAAATGGATGCGGCCCCACTTCTGTCTGGTGGGACGGCATCTTCTGGTTGACTGAAACGCCCGTCTTTACCCGCTTGACCAGCGAGCCAAGCGAAGACATGCTTGCCCTGATAGAAGAACCCCGTGATTCGGTATTGGCTCGTCGTCGGTCTGAGCGGCTGGCCTAACTAACAAAAGTAACTTCTATCCGATGACGGACAATCGAGAGCGGTCGGGAGGTGACCCAAGAGTAGAACAACTCGGCAGAGATGGCAAAGAGGGCAAACCGGGAGGGCCAAAGGGCAACGGCAGAAGAAGACGGAGAACCGAAAAAATGAAAGAGTGATCCCTCGCCGCCGTCGTCGTCGTCGGGAGAAGTCCGCCAGAAAGCCGAAATCAGAAAAGAACAATGCAAGAAGAGAAATTTCACAGAAACTGGACACAGAGGGATGGGGCGAATGAACTGTCCAAGGACAGCCGATCGCAGACCATTGCTGACTGAGAGCCAGAAAAAAACCTCTTGCGATCATTGCGCTAACGCGTTCTTATCGCAGTCACTCTCGTTCATTCAACGTTCGGGTTCGCTACTTCGGCATTTAGACTAGACTTCCAGGAAGTCGAGCTTGCCCTGATTTGAGGGTTCTTCTGAGCAGCCGTACGCCCCTGGTTCCTACGTAGACGAGATCTACGTAAGTTCTTCCGCGTGTCAGCAGTTCGTGCTTCTCAAAAAGACAGATTCGACGCTGCCGCCCTCCGTGGCGGCGGCGACTTCGATGAAACATTCCAGCAGAAGTTTCAAACCACTTCTCTATGCTTTGGACACCTTTGTACACATAAAATAACGCTTGATGAGTGGAATGTTAACTGAGGACGGCGACGGAATGTTGCCAGCCACAGCGACGGCAACAGCGCTACACGTGGGATACTCCGATCCGCATAGATACGTTTCATTGCGGTTTGTCCTGTGATGGCTCATCAAATGGGTGGATGCAACTAGTTAAGGAATGCCGTCGCGCCAAATTCCGTGTTGCCATAATTTCGGTTTTTGGAGTGCGTTGTCGCATTGGTGTCATCCATCCACACGTACAAGTCGCTACGAGGAGACGTTTACTCCTATCGAACGTCTATCGATTTTTTGAAGCCTAAACCCTCATATCGATCAGGGCGCGATCCGTTTCGGCTTCTCGGCCGTCTGAACCGCCATCTGGATTGAATTCAGAAAAACCGCGAGCGGGCTCTCGAATTAGGAAGTCATCTGCACAGTGAAACCCCTGCGGTTCGCCACGCTCGGCTATCTCTCAAGTTCTCATTTGCAGCAGTTGTCGAGATTCCAGAGATTAGTGCGAGAAGCCGTTGATTTCCTGTCGGAGCTCGCAGCATGGGTTCTCATTTCATTCTGTAGAATCTCGTGGATTCCGGACACGTGCTCGTCGCTGTCCTCCTCCCTGCTCCCCTCTTTTGTTTGTTCTGGGGAGTCATCGGCCTCTAGTGGGCCCTCTGGCGCTTGCAGCGGCGGCCGATCCGAGTTACCAAGCTGTCTAGCTAGCTGGCTGGCTAGCTAGCAACCAACCAACCGCCGACCAACCAACGGAGAGAGGTTGAATGACGCAAACGACATGCAATTTACGTCGTTCTGTGCGGAGACTTCCATTGTTGCGATAAAAGAGGCAATGTAGAGCCTTCTGATGGACACACAGAAGTGCTCAACTGTTCACGACCGATCTGGCTTGCTGTAACGAGTGGTGTGCGTCGGAGCGAAAGACCTAGCGGATGACCGTGACTTTGACAATGAACTCTTGTCGGTGGACGACACTTTTCAAATTTGGCGCCAGCTGTGTCTCGTCTCGAGCACGGCGATCGCTTAGATAATTCCGACTTCTATTTAATGATTATGCCGTACGTATTCTAGCAAGCGAGATAGCCGACCGATGGACAGATAGATCGATCGATCATTTCGAATACACGTGATCCTATCCTAGGACGATGATGATCCGGGATTCGAATTCGAATCGACGGTCTCTCGGGCGCGTCGCGTACTCCATCACAGAATGAGAGGCTTGTACTCTCAGGCGCTATTCATGTCCGTCCGGGTCTAGACTGAAAGTTTCGCGCAGAGATTCCTGCCGAATCCGTGCCGCGATCGTGCCCTGGGAATCGCGACGTCGACGGTCAATGCTAAACATGCTGACCGCTCGGTCGGTCCTTGTTCCGGAAAACGTAAATGCCTCCGTCGGATTCTAGGGAGGAGATTGACCAACGTGATGTTCGTCCATATGAAAAGAAAGCGATCGGCGGCTGAAAATCGATCGAGCTAGCGGGAGAGGAGAAAATTCGAGACGAGTTTGATGGCTCGAAGTTTGCCCGCGATTCTGCACGATTCAGATGTACACTCTTCGATCCTATCCTCTTTCTGAAGGTCTGCTCAACAATGGATTTTCCGCGAACGATGAGTTCGTATGGATTCTGAGAGCCACAAGACCCCTTCTCGTCGCACCCCACCCCACCCGCTTCACCGCGGTTAGACACACATCAGGCCGTCATCTGAACACGAGCCGGGTGCCGAACGAAATCAGCCCTCGAGCCGGCGAACCACCCTCTGAATCTTCAGAATTGGTGAGGAGCTGCTCTGCAGTTAATACCTACTACGGTTGCGGGTCCATGTATTTTGGAGCATGTTCGCCCCGTTTCGCCGATGAGACCACTCTTCGTTTTTTCGACATCTAATCGTAGTGAACTCCGCGTGAGAAGTTCGACCGCGGACATTTTTTTTTGAATGCGAGTAAACGGGACTCGGGTTGCATGCTCTTGATAATTGGAAGTTCGAACGACCCCCGCGGGAGCATCCCCGGAAAGACGGCGCATTCCAAGTTTGTGCTAATGGCAAAGTGATTTCGCAGCCTACTCAGGGAATCGGAGTGCAGAGAGACGAGAGCGAGTGTGAGAGAGAACGGCGGCGCCCATAGATGAGACGGTCGATCCAGAACCGACGAATTTAAGCAAAGCTAATCCTCGAGGATCGAGAGTGCGTGTGTTTCGAACTTGAAAATCTCAAACCGTTCACTGTTCCGGCTGTCGTGCTTCTTCTTATCTGAGATCTGGACCGCGCAACGCTCCGTACCCGTTGATTCGAACATCGACCGCAATTTCCAGTGAGTTGTTCAGCCGGTACTCGAGACGTTGCTGCTGGTTATTTTCCACTGTGAGTGCGAGATCTTTCTTCTAGATTTCTTTGCGCGAAAAATGTGAATCGGAGGTTTTGCACACTGTTCCCGTGGTAGAGGAACTCACCGGCCGAGCTCAGAGAGCGTGTTCTCTGTGGGAGTAAGCCAACGGATATCCATCATTCAGGAGATAGAATCCGCGAGAGGATTTTCGGATAGAATCCAGATCCTCTGTCCCTCATTCGTGAGGACAAAGGGAGATAGAGCGATCGACCGACCGAGAAAGTCGGGATTCGATTTGTCAGACTCGGAGTGAGCGCGCGCTGTATCGAGCTCCAGCGAAGTCCGTTATCCGCCCAACTTAACGGTTCGTCTCGCCTTGCATCGACTACCGGTCTGATTGGGATTCAGAAGACCCTAGCCATGATCAGTCGGATTTCCTGAAGCAACTCCCTGCGTAAGGGGATCCGTATAACTGGAAAAAAGCGTGGCAGTCCGATCCTGGTGTCATACGACAGCGAACTTGGAGTTGCACCTCGCGCGAGATTCATCGCCGGGAAATTTTGGAGTTTCTCAATTTCTCCTGTTATCGGATTATTCAATTATTGTCTTTCTGAAAGCCATACACTCATCCACGCCGGCGCCGCTTCCAGCGAGAGCGATAGTTCCTATTCTTGCTTTCATGATGATCGTGCAGGGGCTCAGAAACCGGAGTGCCGCCATGTAGGCCTGGGGGAACCGGAAGCGCAGGGTTTTCGAATCCGCCTTCCTTCCTTGAAACCACGCACAGAGATCTGAAGAGATTGAGTCATCTACTCTCCGCGCTTAATATCTATAGGATTCTTGACCAATGAGCTTTATCTAATCCTTGTCATTTGTCTTTCACAGGAACTCAGCTTCGACTGGAGGAGCTAGGAGCTAGTGATCACTGGCTCCTTCTGCCATTTTTATGCACAAATATTGATGATGGATCTCTACTACCCATGCCTTCTGCCCGATATGATCGAGAGCGATCTGCAAACCGATCTGGGCTGTGGAGTGGAGCTTGGATCGTCTAATCTTCCTCCACTCGAAGGCATGGGAGCTTTGGACACGCTCGACCCAGCGTGGCTCACCGATTCACAAGGACCTCTTCACAATGATCTCGACAGTTTGGACGTGGGCCTGATGGTCAACCCTCAAACTGGACTGCCGTCCCTGAGTGAGTATTTGTTGTGGTTGTTCACAAATAGCATTTTTGCTCCGCTCCTGATACTGCGGCGATAAGTATCTGACAGTGCCCGCTTGCTTGCGTGCCTGCGGGCGAGCGGGCGGGAGGCTGGAGCAGCCGAATGCTTGTCCTTCAAGAATCGATTTGACTTGTTGGCAGCCTGTAGCAGGCCGTGTGAACGGTTTCCTTCCTGTTAGAGAAGCGTGGACGGAAAGCCTCATCCTCTCAATCCCCACATATACATATGTGTCGCTGTACAATTTTCGAAAATGGTCCTTCTAGAGACTCGATCGAGACAGCATCAGGTCCGAACTTGACCGAAAGCAATAATTTTCTGACCGGATTCAGTTGATAATGGTCTCTTGATAAATTCTTCAGGGTTTTTTTTCCGAGCGGCGCTTTCCATGTCTCCTATTGTGCCCTGAATCAGAAGAATATCTTGTTTCGCCGACAAGATCCCATTTTTCTCTTTGTTTCGGGGATGTTTTTTGATAAATGCATCCCTTTTTCAGAGAAACATTTTGCTGAATTGTCAGTTTGTGGGTGTCTGTCGTTGCTACATAACTTTGGTGGATCTGCCTGTTGGGGCCTCGTTGTCTTTCCGGCTGGGCTGGCTGGCCGATCGGTCCGTCGGTCGTCCATCCATCCGACTCATTGGTGTTGGCTCGAATCTATCTACCAGTAGTCGAATCGACGCTGTTACCCTTAGCTGTTTCAGAAATGTTTGCGGCTCGATTGACGCACTGTGGGCTGTGCTGGTAAGCGCAGTCGGTAGGTACTGTCGTTAGCAAGCCTGGCAGGCGAATAGACAGACAGGTTGGCAAGCAGAGCAACGGACGGATTGGTGAAAAGCTATGATTGCTTCGGCAGAAAGGCCTCAGAATACGTGGGACGTCAGCTACCGTCTCGTCCCGACGCTCGCTCGAGAATTTCTCAGCTTTCGGTGTTTCTGCGTATTCCTTTCTTTTCCCTCCCGAAGATATTCGAGAGTTTTCCGGGTTCATAGTTCGAGTTGAGGCAGATGGTGGAGGCGCGTTCACGGCCGCTCCGTTGTTTACATTGGCGACTGGTGTTGCTTGAACGACGATCCGAATCCACGGAGTCTGCGATCGGTCGTAGTGCTTTCGAAATTCTATCCGGTGATATCTAGTTGGAGATCGTGAATACGAGTCTGATAGATAAGGGCCGTCAAATGGAACTCGTAGAGTTCGTCTGAACGGAGACGGGGGAATTTCATTGCTAATTAGGGGATGTTGCGGCGATCATGATGGGTAGGGTATTCGAGAAAACCCGCGGAAAGGCTGAATGAAAATTATTGCAATTATCTGCGCGAATCCACACATTATCGAGAGTATCTTGCCTTCAATTACAGCGTTCTCGGCATCACTGGCAGCAGCAGCGAGCAATAGCGTTTCGGAAGCGCCCAACTCACTGAGCAACAGTATTTCAAGTGATGTCATACACTCGACAAAGAAGAGTGTCGGGAGTTTTAACCTGCTTGCCGGTACATCAACCACGCACAATTCGTCCCAATCCTCGCTGTCGATTGGTGAGTATCGTATTCAGGAAGCCTTCGTGTATATGAGTGCGACGTTTTTCACTTGGAAACATCTGTCCCCGCTCCGGTCGCATTGAGTTTCCGTTGCCAGGAGGCAGATGGTCACCGAGAACTTCATCGCCGATTTTCTGTGCTGCTGTTGGAAGAAACAAAAAAAATATATATGAATCGGCGTTCTGTCGCCGCCGTTTATGCCGCCGTACGGCCTCGGCCACGAACGCATTTTTCTGCGATCAAGAACACAGATTCGATCATTTAATGGCCCGGATTCTCGATACCGACCTCATGCGGAATTTCTTCACAAATTTTCAGGAAACTCGGCATCGGCAGCCACTCCAATCGTGGCAACCACGGCATTAGGAGGTTTGATCCACAATCAGGGTACTATAGCACCTCAACCGCTCACTGCATCGAACGTGCAAGCTCTCCTCGGACAATCTAATTCTGTGAGTTCCGTTTTTCGCCGTCTACCCCTGGATGGGATGCCGAAAGGATTCCGTATGCCGGATTTATCAGCTTCATCTACACCGTTGAACAAAGACATGTCCCGTGACAATTATTTCATCAACCGAAGCAGAAAACCTTCTGACCAAGTCGGTGAGCGATGCGCTAACGCGGGTTCCACGTGTTTCCAGACGGGTCAACACTCGCAGCCGGCGGCCAAAAAATCGAGACTGAATGATCATCCCGACCACGAGTCTTCCTCTGCACCCGAGCCGGCAGCCACGAGCACCGACGGAGTCAAATCAGCATTTCCCAAACCGGCGTATTCGTATTCATGTCTCATCGCGATGGCCCTGAAAAACTCCAAGACTGGATCTCTGCCAGTCAACGAAATCTATAACTTCATGATGTAAGTTGGCTTCCGCGTTCCTTCCTCGATCCCGTGACATTCGGATAATCCGCGCATCCGCGCTGATTCTGGTCACAGCCGACTCGGGTCTGGAAGTTGAGATTTTCAATTCAAAGGCCTCGGCTCTCAAGGGCTTCGCTTGATAGCTCCCCGTGCTGACTGAGGCTTCAAAGTTTTCCACCCCGATCGCGGTTTTGGCGAATATAGTGCTCGGTTATGCTGATGTGGGAGGTCTCTCTCCGGCCACTGCTACCCAGAAGACCAGGTTCAAGGCCAGTCATCGCTGCTGCGACGGCAGCGGCCGCCGTCGCCGGCAGCAAAGGGTTGAGCGACGAGACTTGGAAAGGGTTTTGATGGGGAGAAAGGGAGAGAGCACCACGAGAACACGAGGTACTACCACGGCAGGCTGATTCCGATGGAAGTTTCCGAGCAATTCAAGGACATGGGATTCTCGCAGAAATCGTGGCGCGGACTCGGTCTCCGCCTTCCTCTCACCTAGTTCCCATCGGTCTTGGATTCGCGCGAAGGCGAATGAACAGAATTCTCGTCGTTTTCCATATGAAGGGGGCGAGTCGGCGGCTTTCCCCTCCGCTGTAATGTTCATTTATCACGAGCTCTGGGCTGCATTCGATAGAATTCGGAGTCGCGCGGCAGGTTCGCGTATGGCGCAATATTGAATGATTCTCTAATCTTCCGTGAAAAGTCCGGCTGGAAGGCCCCCGAGGAACCTGAAGTACCCTGAGCCATCCCAGAAATTCTCTGAGATTTCTTCATTCAGTGATATTTTATTCCGCGATTCCCCTCACCAGAAACCACGGGCTCATTCGTGCGCGAGGATTAAGCCTCTTACGCGCAGAACGATCATGGATATATACAGATTTGGGTGGTTTCGCTCCGCTCATACTCATTCATAATTATTGATTCTTCCTGGGTCTCGAAGGTCCCGAACATCCCCGTCAGGCCAGACTGATATGTAACGTTCCGTTTGATCTCCCACAGCGAAAACTTCCCGTACTTCAAGACCGCTCCAAACGGGTGGAAGAACAGCGTCCGCCACAATCTCTCTTTGAACAAATGTTTCGAAAAGATCGAAAAACCCACCACCGGTCCCAACGGGTCTCAGCGGAAAGGCTGTCTCTGGGCGATGAATCCCTCGAAAGTGGGCAAGATGGATGAAGAAGTGCAGAAATGGTCGAAAAAAGACCCAGCCAATATCCGCCGAAGTATGGCTCAGCCCGATCGACTTGAACTGCTCGAGAAAGGCTTTTTGAAAGATCTCTACACCGAACTCGACGGAGCCGAAGACGAGGAAGAGGAAGAAGTGGAAGATACGGTCTCTTCGGTCGAAGAAGACATCGAGGCGATGTTGCCGGACACTCCGCCGACGTCTCAGGACGAAAACGCCGTCAAGGTCAAAGTGATGGATAGTGCTTTAGATAAGGTGAGCTTTCAAATCTACAATTAGTCGGAATCGGCAAGGCCACCCGATCCGACTTCCGAACACGACAGAAACGACCCGAAAGCTCTTTTTTATGCATTAACTGCTCCGTGGACAATGAACTGGCGCAAGCCGCCGACCAGCAACAACGTATCGTAACAACATCGTATACACACAACGAAGTGTCATTCACTTGGGGCCCGCGACCATTGTGAGGGGGGCATGATGTGGGGAAAAAGTTGAAGAGGCCTTCCTGAGCTCAGAGGAAGGGAGGTGGTTGATCTTTCGAACGAGCGAGAAGGAGACGATGGGAAAGATGAGGGTACTAGAATGAGAGAAGAAAGCTGAGCTAGTTGAGCGGCGGCGGTTCTGAGATTTGTCACTGTGTGCTCGAGTTACGTAGATCTTTGAGGAGCAGGATCGGAAACTGGACACCGGCTCAGGACCCTGTTGATGATGACGTCAGCTACAGCCGAACGGCTGCTTTGTTTTTTTCTGTTTTTGATATTTTGCTGCTTTTGTGATCAGTTTCTTTATATGGAAGTTTTCTCAGTCAGCTTTCGTATATCGAGTTAATGTGGTCTCATAGTTAACGGAAAGGAAAAAGATAAGGGAAAGTGAAAAGGAAGGATCTCCGGGATCCGCGACGAAAGGTTTCGAAACTCGCTTATTGACGGGCAGATCAAAATTGTGGAATCGAGACTTCGCCAAAGTCCTTCTTCTCTCCCGCTCGATCGCGGGAGGGGGAGCTGAACTCTAATAAGCGACTGCCATATCGAGCAAGGGCCGAACGTTCCGCCAACGGGTAACACCTGTGGTCTATCGCGCGTTCTCACCGAGCGTTCGGTCCCGAGAACAGTGAACACAAGGCTTGGCGGTTTTGGTACGTTGTATTTTGGGGGAACCTAGGTATCATACGATGTCTCACCGTACGCGGAGCGTAATGCGAACAGGTATTCAGGAAGAGTTTTCGACTCAAGACCTGGAAGCGATAAACTCTGAAGTTGTATCTCAAACATTTTTTCATCTCTGACAATCTCATTCGGGGAGGCCCAGTGGGTATTTTTAGGTTCTAATAAGCGAGCCAGACTCGTCAATCAGCGAATTTCCAGTAGAGCCTGTACACGGCACATGTACACAAGTGAAAATAGGCGAGCGTATTCATGCGCTCTGATACCAGAACGACGAATGTCCGAGCAGCAACATTCGGTGATCTCAATCCCGTAGTATCACCGGAATCCAGACCGATGGCTCTGTGAGCTCTGCGAGGCTGGCCCACAGGAGAGTGAGCGCTAACTACTGCGACTACAACCTACTACGATTATTATTATCATCATCATTATGACCATTACCATGATCCGCTACGACAATTAGTGCCACCACTGAAACGAGTCCCTAGCTTCCACCCATCCTCCTCCGCCGGCGGCGGCTACTTCCAAGTATCCCGTTCCCTTCGCTGTTCCACCGGGAACTACTGCTGGAGCAAGCTCTACTACCTTAATCCCGTTGGGACGAGTTTCTTCGCTGGAAGGGAGGGTGGACAAAAACATGATTGGCGCGCATCGAGGACGTGACACTCAGAAGTGAACTCAATTGTTGTTTTGTTAATATATTCTCCCTGTTTGAGTTCATTTTCTTTCGTTGAGCGGACGTACGTACGGCCAGTCACAATATTTGTTAAATATACTTTTGTGAATTAGTGAAATGCAAACAGACGGACAAATCGCGCTTGCACACGCGTCTATGGCCGCCTTGATATGCCGATATCGCTGCTGCTGTAGCTTCGGTGGCTTCCGAGCCGTGATCTGAACAAACGTTTTTCCCCGGCAAGTCTTCCTAAGACGCTCGGAATCTCCATCGATTCCACCATTGGGAGGCTGCAGGGGATCTTTTCCCGGGTATTCGTATCTCAGCATCCGACCCAGAGTAATCCTAATGGAGAAAAAAACGACTTTTTACAAGCTGTAGCTTGCTGCTTGACTCGAAGACACAGTGACAAACCTCTGTCTTCGTCGACTTGGTCCTATGTATTTACTAGTGTTACTAGTACTATGTACTGGTGTAGCGTTTCTTTGCGACAAAAGAAATGAGCATAATATGAAAAATATCAACAACCCCCACGAAACAAAGATGAACCTGAAACGAGGAGAATAAAGGAACCTGATAACGACGACGGAGAAGATCATGATGATGATAATGATGACGGGACTAAGGAAAACATAAGACGACGATGCAAACAGGACTGATAGATACAACAAAGACCAGAACGGGGAGACAAACAATATACTAAGCCGAATGTATGCAGGCAAGTATGAGTGCATGGTGTTGAGGAGAATGGAAAAGATGTGGCTGAATATTTTTTATACTGTAAAGTGAAAATCATCCTACGCTAGCTGCTGCAGTGAAACAGCACCACCTTCACCACGAAAACAGCGACAAACATGAGCCCATGCATGAATAAGGAAGCGAAAGCATGAGAACATCCTTCAACCAAGCATCTACCGAACATTCTGTACCAAGACACACATTCACTGCGGCGCGAACCTTCCCATAGTGTCGAATAAATGACTTGTGTATAGACTATTCAGAATAGCTCTCGTTTTCATTTTCTGCCGCAGGCCTGACAAGGTCGGGGACGTCGAAAGTCGAAATATACACCAAAATCGATAGAACTCAGTCCGACGCTTCTCTGAACACCCTCATGATCAATTGACTCCCAGATGAGGAATCGGTTCAAGAATATTTGTCAGCCGGGATCGTATATCGAATACGATTCCCGACATGTCGAATTCAAGTCTGAGACTCGGCTCTGACTATCTTTCCATCCTCAAACCTGAAAACGATTGAGTACCATCGAGCCAGACCCGATAAGTGTCCCCGCGAGCAGGATGACGTATTGTATTTCAGATTCGATCGACGAGCCTATGCCTATTCCCCCAAAAGTCTTCGGCAATACTCACAAGTCAGCGTGCGCGAGCATCTGTTCCTCGGGAGTATGGCAAGGCTTCGAGTATCACTCGCCGCGCAGCCACTCGTCGAGAGCCTGCTATCCTCGGAACATCTGCATTCAGACCAGATGGGGGTCCGCGGAGCATCACTGAATACTGGTATTGCGGGGGACAAGTATGTGATGGAAGCCAGCAATCGAGCTTTTTGCCCATAGTCCCGAGACCCATTTCCGAATCGAATTATTCCGGGCTCCCGTGCCCTATCGGGGCAGCTTCGGTGCTTTCTCCGATGAGAGATCTGACCGAACCGCCAAACCCGGAGCGACTCGTTTTGCGGAGTATCTCCAAGTGCTCCCCGCAGGATTCTAAACTATGACGGATCAATAGGCGCCTCGTGACAGCAGCGTTTCCTGAGACTTCCGAGATTCAATTTTCCTAAATCGGGGTTGCCCACGCCCCAACGGGAGTTCTGCACCAGAGCACCCTTCACAATCGATTCAGACCCACGATCGCATTGAGAGAAATTCATATCGGTGACGGTAGCTGACACCGAGGATTTCCGGCAAACCGAGGAGACGAGCCTGCAAGTCTGCTTCTGTGCATCTATTTCTGGCGTTGTTTCATCATCAATCCGGTCTTTCAGAGAGAGCAGCGGGAACGCTGAATCCATGAGCACTCGTCGCACCGATTCAGCTCAAAGAGATTCCGAAAAACTTTTTTGAAATTGTACCGGTGGAAATCGAAAACTCACTCACTCAAGGGCTTTGCTGGTGAATGCATTAGTGATTCGCGACATCCGAAGTTTCTCCCCCTTCTTCGCGTGTCTTATTTCGGTGAAGACATTCGGTTCCTCATGATCGAGTCGAGGGTTGCTGTCGGTAAGCAGAAGGAATGACGTAGCCACCCGGACGAGAAGAGAGCGAGCGGACTGTTTGTTGAGTGTTTCAAAGAACGGATGTAGTATTACAGAAAACGAGGGAAGAATACGACTGTGCTTCAGAAGCCGGCTATTGTCTGAGGTGGACATCAGAAGCAGAAAGCCGAAAAGACAGATTCACGGAGTGCACCGTCGAACAACTCCAAGGAATGCTGTGCTCTATGGCATCAGTGGCCGTCTTTTCGGTCGTGTTACCCTCTATATGGTCCGTCGTGAACGCTCAAGATAAACCGGTACCCCTGTTCCCGACGAACGGACAAGAGCTTCGGAAAACTTTGAATGACATCTCATACTCTGTGAACAAGATAACCAGTCCGGACGCAAAGGTTCGTTTTGGAATTTTTTTCCAATTTCTGCGAGCCGTAGAACTTGATTTTCTTTTCTCAGCCATCGGTTTCCCTTCCTTTTTCCAGATCAGCCCGAATTTTCTGGAACGTTTGCTGCGAAGCATGGAGCCACCGAGCCAGAGTCCGGCCAGCTCTCCTCAGGATCCTCTGGGCTTAGGTCGTCTGGTTTTCGGCATCGTTAACTGGTCGTTGAATCTGGCGAAGGATATAAAGGACAGGAACGTCCAGATCGGCACGGTGAACAATGAGACCCTAATCAGCGTGAAGACCGAGGAGTGGAAATCCACGAACGCCTCGCAGCCTTGAACTCATGGCTCGACTGAATGAGAGGGTCTGCGTGGAGTAATTCACCCGGGTACTCACATGACTATTCCCCACTCGGAGTCGTGAGAACGTTATGCTCACAGTTGAAAATGGCCTCGAATAAAAGGAGACGTTGATCCCTCACTCAAAGGATGGACTCATGGGTCATCTTCCGGACGAGAGTAGGCCGATATCTAACCCTGGATGGGTCTGAATCTGGGCTCAACTCCCTCACGCTCACGCGGTTCGAGTCCACTGAACATGTGAACTGCGAAAACTGGGCATCCGGTTCCGACGCCTCGTGTCCCACATCCTCGATTGGAGGGGGGCGACGTAGAGCCTAACCGGAGGTTTTCGGGACGAGACCAAACAGGGAATCCAGACTTCAGATCTCGCAGGACCAGAGCTCGCAGCCCCTCGTCGTAGTCTCGGGAGCTCAAGTTTCACGCCTGTTCTCTAAGGTAGGAGAGCTCCCTCTCTATACCGTTCTGCCGCGGAGAGCTCCACAGAACGATCGTTCTGATCGAATGCATGGATGTGAGTGAAGACGGCCCCGTCGGGGGATGACATTTATTTTCATATGAATTCCTGCAGTAATTCATCCCAGTATATCGGTAATACAGTATAAACAACGTATGAACAGCATGGAAGGGTGAGGGTGGGTACAAAGTGTGAAGGCGAGCTTTTATCCATCTCTCCAGCCGACATGACCTATTTGATGTATTTGTCCATGAATTTCTTGTGGAATTCCGAACGAAGGGTGTCGTTGATAAATCCTTTTTTCGCGCTGTCAGGCTCGCCCTTCGCGCAATTCTTGAAAACTACATCGTCGTCCCAGCGCCGCTTCACCTAGGAAAAGTGAGTGATGTTAAACTCCCGAGCACTTCAACTTTTGAAATTTTTCGGAACTCCCCTCGAGTCCGTATCGTGGATCCGTATTCGGAAGGGTACAGCCGGAGATACAGTGTCAGTGAGAACTCGCATTTCACTCACTTTGAACTCTTTGCCCGATGAAGATCCTCCTTGGAGGAGCGGGTTCCCTGAGAGGATATTCTCCATGCGGATCTTTTCTTCTTGTTGTCGTTTTTCTTCCTCCCGACGTTCTTCCTCCTCCATCCGCTGTTTTTTGATGCGCATCAGCTCGGCCTGGAGCTCAGCCGCATTGTCCTCATCGTCACTATCTTCGTCCGACGAAGAATCTCGCAAAGGCTCGTCAGCGTCTAGATTGGTACTCTGGGGCAGCGCTTTGGCCTCGCGGCTGTCTGAAGCCCCGTCGCGGCGTCGTTTGCCGCTGCGCTCACGTTCCTCGCGCTCTTCGAGCTCTCTGGAAACGGCAACCGAGGCTCTTAGAACATGATTCGTCAAACTTATGGCAGATGGTACATTATTCGGGAAATTGACTTCTACGGGAAGCGCTACCAAGTACTACGCATCTCATGATTCAGGATTAGCGACTCTCTCGTCGCAGAACGTGAATAGCGCTGCGCAAACTGACCAACCTCTTGAAGTCCCGGCTGCGAAGATCGTCCTGTGCTCCTTGACCACTCTGACGATATTTGAGTTTCGTATGGCCGGGGAGATCTCTGGACGAGTATTGTTTCGAAAGAGCACCAAGATCTTTCTCTCGGCCCCTCGCGGGCTCGAATGTGGGTCTGGCCGCAGTGGTCATCTCGACTCGAAGAACAATGTAGGGGAACCGGCTGAGTATAAGGCGAAAATAGGGGCTAAGAGTGATGATCATACAGTGAGAATTCGTTTTAGAACGACACACAAATCCACAATCACAATGGCGAGCGCCCTCTGCCAATATGGCGGCCTCCAGACGACATCAGAAATCAGCTCCGCACTGCGCTTAGCTGGTCAGCTTGGCGCTGCAGTCAGCTCAGCGCGGCTTCAAGACTCCGGAAACCTTCGAGATGAGAAGCCCGAAAATTATCGGACTTCTATCCAGAGAGCATGGAGCTCTCGGAAGGGAATACTCCGAGGATCCTCGGAATGGGAGACCCGAAAATTATCGGACTTCTATCCACAGAGCGTGGAGCTCTCGAAAGGTAAAACTCCGAGAATCCTCGGAATGGGAGACCCGATAATTATCGGACTTCTATCCACAGAGCGTGGAGCTGTCGAAAGGGGATACTCCGAGAACCCTCGAAATGAGAGACACGACAATTATCGGACTTCTATCCACAGATCATGGAGCTGTCGAAAGGGGATACTCCGAGAACCCTCGAAATGAGAGACACGACAATTATCGGACTTCTATCCACAGATCATGGAGCTGTCGAAAGGTAAAACTCCGAGAATCCTCGGAATGGGAGACCCGATAATTATCGGATATCTATCTACAGCATAGAGCTTTCCTTTACGAGAGTACAGTCCAAGAATCCTCGGAATGAGAGACCCGAAAATTATCGGACTTCTATCTACAGCATAGAGCTCTCCTTTACGAGAGCACAGTCCAAGAATCCTCGGAATGAGAGACCCGAAAATTATCGTCTCACCGTGAACGACGCATCATACGAAATGCGCATTCCACGACCACTTATGCAGGCAAAGCAACTAAACCTTCATTTCGACATGTGGGGAGTAATCAAAGAGAGAATCATAAAGAGAGAGACCAGTGGAGCTCATAAGTGCACAAGCAATCATCCCTACATGAGCGTTCCAGTTCCCATGCATGGTCGAAAGCTGTTCGCACAGCTTTTTAATGACCATTTCAAATGTAGCATCGGCGCGCGAGATGCTTGCGTCTCTTGAGAGACACAAGCGAGTGGGAGAGGTAATGGCGAGGATGCTTTTATTGCTGTTGAAAAAGTCATCAACCTTCCTCCGTCTTGAGTAATATTGAAATCAAATACATCTATGGTCTCAATTATCCTGTGGAGCTCTCTCAGGCTGTCAACTGTATCAGGACGCAGTTTGCTGGCATGATACCGACAAGTACGCAAGTGCCGCTCTAAAACTACAGTGCTTGTGGCCGCGAGGGATAGCTTGCGCCGATGCTTCGATATTCTTTGCTCCGGTTTCTTTGTTGGGTCCTCTCTTATTCCTTGAATCCAAGTACTTCGTGTATTTCGGTGACCAATGCCGTATGCCTCCGGGGTGTGATTGTGGCTCCCAGACACGCTCAGAATCTTTCCGTTAAGTCCGATCTTGGCAACCACTTGGCACCCACTTCTCTTGAGAGATTTGCATACGAAGGTAATGACAGCCCGGGCGGAATTCATTCGCTTCTGATGAAAGAAATAGGAGCCTGAGCCTTCTGAATGTTCTCCGATACGGTATAGACCTCCTTTGTGAGACCACATTCTTTTTTCGCCAAAGCGCAGACTCGTTACTCTCGTTGAATTCCCCTCCCGATTCATATTCGTGGCCTTGATGACCCGGGGGTAGAAGGAGTACCTTGAAGGAGTGGGAAGAATGGATGGCCTTCGATGAGCTCGAAATCACACAGCGAAAGAACTTTTAAGCCCCGAGTTCACCGCGTATATACAATGGCATTAACATCGCATTTTGTTCAAACGCTCGGCAACGGTTGCCGGAGTCTGCGCAATCGTGGAATTTGCGAAAAATTTGAATTCCAAAGTTCATGATTTTCCTGATCAGGGCCTGCGCTCTCGCACCTGTCACTTCGTGTAATACGGAGAGTTCTCGATGGAGAGCGGAAACATACGGCTTGAAGCCCGACAGAGGAGATATATCGGACGCAGACCGGAATTTTCTGCGATGCTCCGGACCAGAGGCCTCTTTGGAAGCCCTGAACCCGAGAGAGAAAAAACCGCCTCCTCATTCGATACTTACTTTCAGAAATAGGAATTCGAATAAGCGGCTCCAGCCTCTCGCGATTCAGGAAGACTCGCTTCGTCGTTCTGCTCCTGTCACGGGTTCCCGTGTGGCGAAACAATCACGGGGGTTTCCACTTTCCACATTTTCGATCGCCGGTCTCGGACACACGGGATGGTCTTTCCTCGACGTCTGTTGTTCCCTCTCTGTGTTCTTTCATTCGGGATGGGTGAACGTGCCAGACTACAGCGTGGCTGGCAACAAGGAACAGTTCAATATGTTTCCCTTCGTGAATTGTGAATCATCTGATCTAGCCCTCTTGTGATTCTCGACTTCTTGGTTAGATGCTCCTGAAGTTCGGTTCAACTTGGTCGGTCGAAGAACCGAGAACGCGTGAGGAATGCAAAGCTAGCAGCTTATAATGTCGCAGAGATGGGGAAATTAAATCACCATCATAGGCTTATTCGGTGCTGACTCGCAAGCTCTGAGAGACGATGAGCTCCGAGTTCTGGTGTGAATCGAAACCACCAGAGCACTCTTGATCCCCGGGTTAGTCGGACCGTGGATAGAGAATGAGTTGACCTGGCTTTGGAATGGGAATGGATTTACTCATTTGTGAGGATTGTGTTCTCCATTCTTTGGGGGGAAACAAGAAGGATCAATTTCTCAGTCAGTGATCGTCGTACGCCATCGAACGACTGTCTCTTCCGACTAAAAACTGCTCGGGAATCCCGTCGCCCCCTCCCTCCGCGGAGGCAGAACCCCCGCCCCTTTCTCGTTAAATATGTATATCCACCACTAGTTGTTCGCTTGCTCGTGACGGGAGCTCCCGACCACCGCATGCTGCAGCTCGATTATTCGCTCATCTCCTCCCGGTTTTCCGCCTGCGGCGCACCGAAGGCATCTAGACTCGCCGCGGGCAGTCGTTCGAGCCACGCGAGCTCGAGGCAACGATTATCATTGACAATAAGGGGACGGGGAACGATAAAACATCGTCCCCTGTCAATGTAGGGGGGCGTCTACGACGCTCTATTACTAGAATCGTCTCTTCCGACCGCCCGCAGTCTCGAGTTGGGTGCAGAATGCATCCGTTCATGTAAGCGACCTTTCTCCGCTAAGGGGGACTCTAGCAGCAGACGATAAAAGCAGACGACAGCGGAGCGCGCTAGATTTCGAATGGTTGAACGATTGATGCCCGCGATGCTTATGCATCATCATTCTCAAAGATCAGATCCTCGGGAGAGTCCTGGAGGAACTTCGGTCAGATACGCCCGCCTCTCAGAGCTCAGGTCAATTTCTCATCCTCCCAACAACGGGCAGACCAGATGTTGATGTAGATGATAAAAGGATGTTGACATAGACAGAGAGAGAGACATTGAAAGAGTTCAAAAAAGACTGGAGGCGATCCCGAGTTTACTCCTGCGATGAGGATTTTCTCAGGGAGGATCAGATGACACAGCGCTCAGCTCCGATTCGGCCTCCGGTCCTACGTCCGGGGGGCGCGATCTTCCTCTGATTGACGAGTATTTCGAGGACCTCCTGTGATCAGTCCGTCGATCCCTGTCGCATTGAGTATCGCACCATAGCCTTTAAGGGTCCAGGATCGAACTTTCGACGCGCGATTAACAAAACCTTGGAGCGTGAATTGGAGAAAGCCGTCTGGCGCGTCAAAGAAGAAAGGTTGCTCGAGAAAAACAGAGAATTTTCCCTACATCGAGGCTCTTAGGAGATATCTATTCTCAATCGCTTCTGACCAGCCGCGCCATCGAAAGAATAAAATACCTAATGCATTCAAGGTTGAGGCTCGGAGCCAATGAGTTGAGCGAGAGACATCGAAACAACATCAGGGAGCTCGTCGATGAATTACAAATCAACTGCCGAGAATACGCGAAACTCGACGGGAGAGGGAACTCAGATCGCCGAAAAACCGCCCTAAGGTAAGATTTTACACTCATTCAGATCTCGATCGAAAGGCGAGCTGATTGGAACGGTTGACTGATCGCGAGTTTTCGACAGATAGTTGACGGTACTTTAGTCTTGAAGGAGTGAACTCCATTCAAGGTACTCTCGTCTTTTTCAAAAAGCTATTGACGGTTACGTCACAACGACTCAATTGACGAAGCCAACATCAGACTACTTAGATGCTCTCGAGCGATTGCAAGAAAACATCGTGGAGGTTCTTAGGTTTCAACATCGAAAGCAGTGTGCAATCCGTAATGCGGAACCCAGTCCGTGCGAATGCTTCGCTCGAGAGAAGAAGAAAAAAGAAGTCTTGGCATTAATCGAAGAGGTCGCCGAGCGCCAAAATCTGAGGAGGTGTCAGCACACTCAAACAGAAGCAGACATTGCTGCCAAGGAGGGTCAAACTCATCTTGAAACAGTGAGTTCATCTAACATCTTCCGCGGAATGTCCCCCGCGGTCTGGCGTGAGAGGAACCTTCGACTGAGGGGTTCTCGAAGAAGCCTTCCCGTTTGACTTCTCTCTGCCATTGATTAGAAACGGACAAACAACGTGATGTCGTCCCTTTCGAGATTGGGTCCATGCATATCGACGTTTCTCTCCAAGCGAAGTCCTCTGCGGTATCTCATGAAAATAGAATTCTGTTGACAAGTTGACCTACGCATCTGACGTAATCCCTGAACATAATCTTCGAATTCTAGGCAGAAGAAGGAGTGCAATTCGCATTTGTTGAGCAGAAGTCAGTCGGAGTAGGGGATTCTATCCTCATCGGCGATTTGCCCCATTTAACATCGTTGAGCAACTCCACTGATCCGTCATCATCAGCGGAGCTTTCTTTGGGCAATCTCCTCCTACAATTCCGGAAAGTCATGCGGGATGAAGTTGGTGAGTGGGTGATTCTTACGTAAGCCAAGGTACTCCATCATCTGACGCCTAAAACTTAAATCGATGACAGGGAACTCAAGATCACTATTATCGGTTGGAGACGGAATTCTTGAACGGAATTCCCGCTGAACAAACCCGTCTCTCTTCCAGCAACGACGACGGAACAAACAGAACCTCGACCGAAATCTGCCCGCATCCGTTTTGAAAAATTGCATAGAATGCTCGATGAATCAGGTCTGTCGGGAGCATCGGATCTGGACAACAGCGAGCGCCAGTGAGAGCCGCGCATGGATTCTTTTCCTGTGACATCAAATCCCAAGAGTTCCTAGAGGGAGAGGGACGATGCAAGCGTTTTGAATGAACGCCTCTTTCATTGCCGATGTCTCTGATAGAATCGGGTCTCAATCAACGGAGACAAGTCTTCCGAGAAGTTGGACGTCATTCCCTACGAGCTCCGACTGCAGAGGCATATAAAGATTCATCGGCGGAAGAAGCGGCGCGAGCTTTGTGTGTGATTCCCTAATTTCCCCGACCAACTCCGAGTCGTAACGAAAATTGCGAGAGCCGGCGAATATCGATCACATCGATGACTTCCGGGTAAGCAGTCCTGTGTCCGGCGCGCTCGACATGATAATTTTTTGAAATTCTTTGAATTTCGGATGCGAGGATCCTCCAGGAAGCGGAGACAGAATGGCTGATTCATTGGTGGTCAGGAAAGCACCGGAGATCTTCATTCGGTCGAATGCGATGAATCTGTAAATATCTAAAATTTTACTCATCGGCCTTTTTCAAAGGAAAAGTCACCTCTTAAGGTATGGGCGTGCATCCCGAGCGTGGATTCTCGAGCAGTCGTCTGGCGATTGCGTCCTCCAATCTCGATGGTCGGCTCACAGCGATTGTCATTGGGAGACAATTGAAGCGAGTCAAGAGACGTAAACATCTGTCTCGAGCGAAGCTCTCCAAGGTTCGCGACTTCGAGATAACATTGGATCAGTCTGAACTTCCTGCGAGCCGCGTTATCCAGGGGATGCTGTCCTTGCGCCTTTTCTATGTCTCGTGGGGGAAACGTCGGCGACGCAGCCTACAAATAGAACTAACCTGTCTAAGAGAGTATGCGAGGAGCAACCGTCGGCAACAATATGGACTTTGTAGTCGTGTTCTAGAATGTTCAGAGCCGTGTTTTGCACGCGGAGGAGACTCTCTAATGATGTCATTTTGCTTAAGGGTTTCGAGTTCGACTTCCATGAATTCTTGTTTTGCACGCGAAAGTGTGTACGGCTCCCGCCTGATTGTTTTTCCATTCATCGACTTGAAGGGTACTTGGAAAAACTCTGCTGTAGGCGGATACTGACAGTCACAAACGACCTTCGGGTATGGTTTCTTGATGTCTCCGATGTTTTGGATTATTCCTTGTGATTCTCGAATTCTTTATTCCTGGGCGTGCCCGAAGCTTGTGCTGTTGTCGAAATGAAAGTTTCGTTGCATTTCCCGCATAAGTTGCGTGGAATGAGCATTTCGTATGATGCCTCGTTCACGGTGAGACGATGATTTCCGGGTCTCTCATTCCGCGGATTCTCGGACTGTACTCTCGTAAATGAGAGCTCTATGCTGTGGATAGAGGTCCGATAATTCTCGAGACTCTCATTCCGAGGATTCCCGGTGTATTCCCTTTCGAGAGCTCCATGCTCTGTAGATAGAAGTCCGAGGATTTTCGGGTCTCTCATTCCGAAGATTCTCGGACTCGATCACCATGAGGCTCTGTGCCCTGGTGCTCTCTAGACAGAAGACCGATTATTTCCGGGTTTCTCATCCCGAAGGTTCTTGGAGTCTTGACGCCGCGCCGAGCTGACTACAGCGCCCACCTGACGAGCTAAGCGCAGTGCGGAGCTGACTTCAGCCCCATATGCCAAAATGACCGCCTCTTCTGAAGGAGAAATGCCAGCCGCCGGCAGGCATCGGCAAGTTCCTGATGCGTGTCATTGGAGCAGACGACAGCAAGGCGCGCTATATTTCCAATGGTCGAAGGATTCCGATGCCTGCGATGCTTATGCATCATCATTCTCAAAGATCCAATCCTCGGGAGAGTCCTGGAGGAACTTCGGTCAGATACGCCCGCCTCTCAGGGCTCTTCTCAATTTCTTTCCTCCCAACAACGGGCAGAACAGATGATGATGATATTAGGATGTGTTTGTAAACAAAGAAATTGAGAGAATTCAAAAAAGACTGGAGGCGATCCCGAGTTCTATCCTGCGATGAGGATTTCCTCAGGGAGGATCAGATGACACAGCGCTCAGTCAGCTCCGTCCATGTTGCAGTTTCCCAGTCAGATTCGGCCTCCGGTTTTAGGTCCGTGGGGTGGGGGGGATCCTCCTCTGATTGACGAGTATTTCGAGGACCTTATGTGATCAGTTCGTCGATCCCTGTCGCATTGTGTATCGCACCATAGCCTTTAAGGGTCCAGGATCGAACTTCCAGCGCGCGATGAATAAAGCCTTGGAGCGTGAATTGGAGAAATGCGTCTGGCTCGTCAAAGAAGAAAGGTTGTTCGAAAAAGAGCGAGAGAAAAACTGAGAATTTTTCCTACTTCGAGGCTCTCTGGAGATATCTATTCTCAATCGCTTCTGACCAGTTGCACCATCGGAAGAATAAGATACTTAATCTATTCAAGGTTGAGGCTCGGAGCCAATGAATTGAGCGAGAGACATCGAAACAACATCAGGGAGCTCGTCGATGAATTACAAATCAACTGCCGAGAATACGCGAAACTCGACGGGAGAGGGAGCTCAGATCGCCGAAAAACCGCCCTAAGGTAAGATTTTACACTCAGTCAGATCTCGATCGAGTGGCGAGCTGATTGGAACGCTTGACTGATTGCGAGTTTTCGACAGAGAAGTTGACGGTACTTAAGTCTTGAAGGAATGAACTCCATTCAAGGTACTCTCGTCTTTTTCAAAAAGCTATTGACGAGTACGTCACAACGACTCAACTGACGAAGCCAACATCAGACTACTTAGATGCTCTCGAGCGATTGCAAGAAAACATCGTGGAAGTTCTTAGGTTTCAACAGCGAAAGCAGTGTGCAATCCGTAATGCGGAACCCAGTCCGTGCGAGTGCTTCGCTCGAGAGAAGAAGAAAAAAGAAGTCTTGGCGTTAGTCGAAGAGGTTGCCGAGCGCCAAAACCTGAGGAGGTGTCAGCAAACTCAAACAGAAGCAGACATTGCTGCCAAGGAGAGTCAAACTCATCTAGAAACCGTGAGTCCATCCATCATCTTCCGCGGGATGTCCCCCTTGGTCTCGCGTAAGGGAACCTTCGACTGGGGGGTTCTCGAAGAAGCCTTCCCGTTTGACTTCTCTCCGTCATTGATTAGAAACGGACAAACAACGTGATGTCTTCCCTTTCGACGTTTCTCTCCAAGCGAAGTCCTCTGCGGTATCTCATGAAAATAGAATTCTGTTGACAAGTTGACCTACGCATCTGACGTTATCCCTGAAGATAATCTTCGAATTCTAGGCAGAAGAAGGAGTACAATTTGCTGTTGAGCAGAAGTCAGTCGGAGTAGGGGATTCTATCCTCATCGACGATTTGCCCCATTTAACATCGTCGAGCAACTCCACTGATCCATCATCATCAGCGGAGCTTTCTTTGGGCAATCTCCTCCTACAATTCCGGAAAGTCATGCGGGATGAAGTTGGTGAGTGGGTGATTCTTACGTAGGCCAAGGTACTCCATCATCTGACGCCTAATACTTGAATCGATGACAGGGAACTCAAGATCACTATTATCGGTTGGAGACGGAATTCTTGAACGGAATTCCCGCTGAACAAACCCGTCTCTCTTCCAGCAACGACGACGGAACAAGCAGAACCTCGACCGAAATCTGCCCGCATCCGTTTTGAAAAATTGCATAGAATGCTCGATGAATCAGGTCTGTCGGGAGCATCGGATGTGGACAACAGCGAGCGCCAATAAGAGCCGCGCATGGATTTTTCTCCTGTGACATCAAATCCCCAGAGTTCCCAGAGGGAGAGCGACGATGCAAGCGTTTTGAATAAACGCCTCTTTTATTGCCGACGTCTCTGATAGAATCGGGTCTTAATCAACGGAGACAAGTCTTTCGAGACGTTGGACGTCATTCCCTACGAGCTCCGACTGCAGAGGCTTATTAAGATTCATCCGCGGAAGAAGCGGCGCGAGTTTTGTATGTGATTCCCTGATTTCCCAGACCAACTCCGAGTCGTAACGAAAATCGCGAGAGCCGGCGAATATCGATCACATCGATGACTTCCAGGTGAGCAGTCCAGTGTCCGGTGCGCTCGACATGATAATTTTTTGAACTTCTTTGAATTTTGGATGCGAGGATCCTCCAGGAAGAAGAGACAGAATGGCTGATTCACTGGTGGTCAGAAAAGCACCGGAGATCTTCATTCGGTCGAATGCAATGAACCTGTAAATATCTTAAATTTTACTTGCGAGCTTTTCTCGACGGAAAAGTCACCTCTTAAGGTATGGACGTGCATCCCGAGCGTGGATTCTCGAGCAATCGTCTCGCGATTGCGTCCTCCAATCTTGATGGTCGGCTCACAGCGATTGTCATTGGGAGAGAATTGAAGCGAGTCAAGAGACGTAAACATCTGTCTCGAGCGAAGCTCTCCAAGGTTCGCGACTTCGAGATAACATTAAATCCGTCTGAACTTCCTGCGAGCCGCGTTATCCAGGGGATTCTGTCCTTGCGCCTTCTCTATTTCTCGTGGGGGGAACGTCGGCGACGCAGCTCACAAATAGAACTAACCTGTCTACGAGAGTACGCGAGGAGCAACCGTCAGCCACAATATGGACTTTGTAGTCGTGTTCTAGAAGGTTCAGAGCCGTGTTTTGCACGCAGACGTGAGCCTCGATGCCGCACAAGATCACGGAATCTACCTGGGGACGATTCCGTGGATGTGAGCACTTTGAGCTCCCAGCCTTCTGATCGACTGTCCGAATATCGGACGAGACCAGAGCTCGATCACCTCATGATGCATCGATATTATTTTTAAAAAAACTCACGTCCGGGTGCTTGGTTTTCATCAAATCGACGACTTCTGGGGTGCACATAGAAAACTGGACCTTCTCAAAGGGCTTGATCTCCGGATATTGGTCAATGCCCAACTCCGCCACTGTAGATCCTAGGCCTTGGTCGGAATCAATGATCAAGTGAATCATCAGGGAACGAAGGCCGAAAATCTCACCTTCGACAGGTCGAGTTGGAATTCAGATGAGAAACTCGGCGGTGTTCTCACCTTTGGGATATTGTTCCGTGACTACGACGGGCATATCGAGCGCCTTCGCAGTTCTCAGCATACGGTTTGAAACTTCGACGATTTCCGGGAAGTACTGTATCGTCTTGCGAAATTTCTCTTGAAGGTCGCAAAGGAACAGAGCTGTTCGGCCTGGCACCAGTTTGCCGATATTCCGTGCGGCCATTTCGTTCCCTGAATCAATATCTCCGAGGTGAGAACAATGGAAAGCTCCGTGATCCTCGGAAGAGAGGCTCATATATGTAAAAGAAAGGGAAAGTCCGCGGAGGGCTTCAACACACAGGATGCGCTAATGGAATTCCTATTTGGGTTGCTCCGTTCGAATTCTGCGTGGACACATACGATGATTTCAGGAGTCTGTGCCTCTTTCACAGATGTCCGTTGGTCAAAATACACATTCTGCATAGCATTGATCATTATTATTACCAGCGATCGGTGCGCTGCTCGCGCACGCATTGCCACCGATAATCTAGTTTTTAGCATCTTGAACCGGACCGGGACACAGGCCATTCGCCATTCAAATATCCGGACAAAATGAGCGATGTCCTTCCGAAAAGCTGGCAGAAGGCGATTGCTCTCCACGGAAAGGCAATTCGATTGATACTTCTCTCTTGTCGGATCCCGCTGCTGTTTCTCCCCCCATGCAGCCGAAGAGCATGGAACGATCAAAGCGGACCCGGCTCCGACAGGCTCGAGCACTACTACCTAGAGGAACTATCGTACCCATAGAGGATTGCTTTCCGACTGATTTCATCGCCTCTTCTGAGGAGGTTATTTTGTCTCATCAGCGAATCTCATAGATTTTCAAAATCTCAAATGGCCAGGATCGAGACTCAATTGCTTGAATCGCAATGCGTCGACGTCCCTCCGCAGTCCCGATGAGTCTCAGTCGCGTAGCATCGAAGCAGAACGTCGCGCCTGAGTTTCCGCATATCGCGGAAAAGAGAACGAAGGCAAAGCGGGTACTTTATCAGGCGGCGCTTAGCGGAGGGAAGGTGGTATTTTGAGTGAATAGAATATCACCGTGTGCTCGAATGGGAGACTCCCTCGCTGCGCAATGTCATGGATTTCTGAAAATAAATACAGCAAGGCAGACAGACACCCAGCCCCTCTGTGTTCTGTGCGTGGGAGAGGAATCACGGACATCGGCGATCTCGCCGCCGAAGTCCCTATCAAGGAGCACGGAGGCAGACACAGGAGCGGATGTGCGCGCTCCGCGACGCCGACGCGCCACATGGGAGTTGCCGGCAGCGATCGCGTCACAGCGTGACGGCGCGGCGGCTATAGATCGAGCATATCCTCTCGGGAGGCTGCATACTGATTTCGGGATGAAGTTCGACCTTGTGATAGGCTTCTGAGTGATGGGGGAGGTGTATAGATCGAGTGTGAATATTATTTCTCCCCTCTGCCGGTAAACGAGGGAGAGAAATGTGCTCAACGGCTGCGTATCTATTGTTTGTTACATCATCAGTAACGACAAGGAAAGCTACATTCGAGCTCTCTGCTTATCTCCCGGTTTTGACCATACAAAGCAGGCCAGACGGCAGGAAGATAAGGAATAGTCGTCGGGGTAGGAAAGACGCGTGGATTTCCTTCGTTCTCGCGAAAAACACGATGGGGATCTATCACTTCCGAAAATTCAAGGCAGGGAGGAATTACGAAGCAGACAGGACGGAAGTATCTCCCGGAAAACACTCGAACGATATGCCACATGACCCCCTCTAGAACTCCATGAGCGCCACCTGTCTTCCTCAGGATCCAGTATCCCGCTGGGAATTTGAGAGGTTCGGGGACGTCGTGGTAATCGATTTTATTCTCAATATCTGCTCAACCGGTGTGTGACATTGAGAGACAGCGACTTCTTCTGCTCTCTTCGAACACTATTCTGCCGAGCTCATCCTATAGCACAGCCCCGCCGCTCGCGATCATTCGGTACATCCCCTTATGCTTCGTAATCATATATTCAGTCTAACCTTTCCGGCACCGTCGTGAGAGCGAGAATCACTGCCGAGTGTTGCGGAGCAGCGCAAGACTCTGATGCAAGAACGTTCACCGATCCTTATCCGCTCTCAAGAAATTGATCCTACACACACTTCTCTGCGTGTTCATGTTTCCCGTGACCATTAGCAGACGATGCGCGAGTCAACGATGTAAACAAAGCGAACGACTTTCGGAGTCATTTCGTTCGATTGGAGAGAAGTTCCTCTTGCCTTCCTTCACCACTGGACTCACACCCGAGGTAATGCCCTCGAACGATTTTACAGCCCCGCGTCCGCGTCGGGGATCGATTTTTCTGTCGAGTGATTCTGAAGGCGTGGAGACAATCCCGAGGCCTTCCAAAGAACCGGTCGGGAGCGCCATCGCTTGAACATCGAACATTGCACACCTCTCGCCTGTACCGAACTAATGCGACATGAATTTGGGTTTCCAGATGCAGATCTTGTCGAAGATCGGGGGCTTATTCTCAGTCGCCGGCTTGATGGCTCGTCAGAGCCCCATGTTCCAGGTACCGGCGAGGACTCATATGATCAAGCTTTTCACACGACCCTCCGAGCGCAAAAGGAGAAACCAATCGTGAGAATTTCTTTTTGCCTATCCCAGTCGATTCAGGGCAGCCTGCTTGCCTTTGCCATAAGGAATGTGTCGATAGAGGAGATATGTGGACCCCGTCGAGGGTCACAGAAGAATTCGAAGACAATCACGAGAGCCAAACATTTCAGATTCCTGGCCCGCTTGAAAACCCGGGGAGGTCGGCTAGTTCTCATGAGGCGATACCTCAAAGGCCGCCATGTGCTCGCTCACTAATATTCGTTAGGTTCCCCGTGATAGTCTGGGTGAATAAAAGTCCGGCTTATCGGCGTCTATCATGGCATAGTTTTTTCTTCTATGAAGAGTTGAATGATCACCGGCCGGATATACTCGCTAGTCATTATCAGCGATGGGGTGACACTCGGGGTCGAAGCATTCTTCGACGAGCATTCGCGAGAAACGCTGAGCCATGAGCTCAGACGTAGTACCACAGCGCGAGCTCGAGCTTGAAAAGGAGGGGAGGAGCTCGATAGCCCGGGAATTCCTCCCGTCGCTTAATATTATTCTATCAAATGTCGTCCATCATTCATTGTAAATCCCCGCAAAGTCGCGCGCCGGACAGCGTTCAGTCAGGAAGACTCGAGCGTGAGCTCAGGCGGAGCGAAATCGTTCACCCGGAGACCCACGATCCATACGAGAATTCGAGAAGGGAACATCATTCACCGTATTCCCTGATGTTGGCGAGCGCCTCACCCCGACGAGAAGTCTATGCACATCCATCGCGCCAAAGACACTGAGAGATGATTGAGGAATCCGAGCCTCATAAAGGGTGAATAATAATTGCTTTCCGGTGACCCCCTTGTGAGCCCCTTCATCCACGACGCGGGGACCGCTCCTCCGAATGTAGGAGCTCGCGGATGCCTCTCTAGGGAGGGTCGAGTTCGCGGTCGGGGTTTCCAGAAGATTAGCCTCTCGAGAGAGGAGTGCGAACTCACGGACAGTCTCCCACCGCGTAATGGCTGAAAGTAGCTCTGATTGTCTGGGACACTTGTGATCCGTTCGAATTTGGAGAACACGTGTGATCTCCTCCGGTCCGGAGAAAACCTGGGATCTCATTCGATTTCCGTGAGGCTGCTCCTTTCCGATACCCAACGCCTCAGAAGTCTTCTCTTCTGGGAACTTCAACTAATTGCCCTATCCCCACATCATGAGTATTCCAAATGAATTCGTCATAATAATAATTATGATATTGTAATTAAAATATTGTACCTCACAATCATTCCCTAGGCTACTCAAGTCGACGTCCATCGCACCACTTCCGGTGCGCTCTACGGAAAGCGCTACTCGCTCACAGCCGCATCCAAGAGAAGCGCTATCGAGATTCACGATGGAAGTTGTCGAGAAAAAATGGGTCGCTCGCCTGGGTCCAGCCGAGGACTCTGCCCTCTGTGTGACGGTGGTCTTTGGACCGGAGATAACAAGGTCAACGAGGCACACTCTTAAGGATTCTCCCGATTATTTGCCACGATGACGAAACACCGCCGTGACTTTCCGAAGACACAGAACAGTAAGGAATTTCACTCGAGCATGCAGTCTAGAGAAAGTGAGATTCTTCCAGTGGTATCCAGTCCTCCAGTAACATCATCTCAGGGAAAGGAATGCAGAGTTCCATGGATTTGGAAAAACGTACGAGCGATATGCCACAAACGTTATGCGCGAAGACTGTGATGGGTTCCAGAGGAGCGATGCGAGCCGCTGTATGCACTTTTAACAGTGCGGGGGTGGCTTCGGAATATAGAATGGAGGAGGTAAATTTCACTGGATTGGACGCTTATAAACAACTTGAGAGTTCCCTGACGCCGTGTGAAAGATGCGCGAATAGTCTTTGCTTCGAGCACAGAGAGCCTTCTCTCCCAATGACGGAGACCTGTCTGATCACTGATCACAGGATGTAGGACGCGATGCTTAGGTAATAAGAAATAATTGTTAGCTCATGACGAAGATCGTTGCCCGCTCAGATAAATAGATCCGCCCCCGATAGACTCTCGTAATTTGATTATAAGCATGGTGAGCGCCAGCGAGAAGGGAAGGAGTTGTGCGGTGTGTTCACAGAATAAACTATTCGACGGACATCACGTTTGCTGGCGAAGATGCAAAGATTTAGAGACAGATAGCGAGCTGAAATTAGAAACAGTCCGAACATGTTGTCGTTTTCTCCACGTCGTCGGGGCGGTCGTGGCCTCGAAACGGTCAATTTCGCCCGGGATTATCGGGACGCGCCATCGACGGGATCCGAGTCCTGCGGAACGGGGTTTCCCTTTTCTGAGGGAATCCGCCTCTCCCGAGAGAGACGAATCTGAAGTCCACGCTCATCTCTCGTTCTCAGCGTCATAAGTCATAAAGATAACTCTCCATTCACATGAAGGTACACACGCTGCATATTTGTCTGCACAAACACAAATACCAATATACACACACATCTGGGAACAGATTGGGAGGTTTCCCGTGGCTCAGCGACCTTTCAGTATTTCCGTCGAGGTGACCGCCTCTCGAATAAGAGGGCTTGGATATATTTAGTATCCTTGGGAGGCTCTAATTTCGTCTTTGGCGTGATTGTTGACCGCCACAAACCAGGCGCTAACACGCTCTCGCCTTGCCAAGATGTCCTCTCTCATTTTTCATTCGAATTTCCATTCCCCCTCGGTGGGGCGGGGTGCGCGCAAACAAAAACTCTCGAGGAAACATGGGAGCTGACCATTGAATACGGATTGTGGAAGCGAACTTGCGTTGCTCACCGTCCTCGGAACGTGTCCAGAGCACGTCGGCAGAATGTGCGTGCTTTCGTAGCTCGAACGCGAGCGGCTTCTGCTCCAGCAGTAGTTGTCCTTGTTGTCGAAATTGTTTTCGCCGCTGTTCCTGGAGCTGATAGTGTTCTCAGGGTGATAGAGAGTCTCGCCAAGGAGAAAATCACCAGTGTTCCGAAATTGATCGGAGGCCTCTGAATTTCGGTCACGACATCAGACAACCCCCAACAGCCATGGGCTACGTGTTGGTGCTATTCAATTGGATTATTTACATCGTTGAGATGTCCCGCTTGATTTCGAGAGGCATTCGAGCCATCTTCAATCACTTCTTCGGTGTTTTCCGTCCGCCTCCGCCGAAAGATGTCAAAGACCGAGTCGTCGTGGTCGCCGGAGCAGCATCCGGGCTCGGTAGTGAGATCTCACATCGATTCGCTCGATTGGGAGCACAGGTGATCATGCTAGACATCGATGAGGTAAGGAAACCTTTCTAGGAAATTTGAAGCGTCTATTGAGATATCCGGATCTGGTTATCAAGAGCGCGGCCGTGAAGCCACGGCATGCCCCCGTCTCGCCGATTGATTCCGTTCACGACTCCTGTTCATGTCTGGGGAGGGCAGCGAATAATTCTGCGGGCCGAACACTGGATATCGATAGTCTTCGAACTGAGATGCGAACGGAGCGATCCGACTCATATCACACACACCGGGAGTCGAGATTGAGCGGCTCGTTTTCGAGGTTTTGAAGCGATCGGAATTCGGAGTTTGCCCCGGGGGCTGACGAATAGTTGTTTGATAAGGGAGGCTTCGACGTCTGCCAGGAATAGACGAGTCAAAGGTGAAAGGTTGGAGTGTTTGCCTTGAGAGACACCCAGGTATCGTTCGCGTTGAGGGACTGTGCAGCGAAATCGACAAATCCCTTGAGTCTCAAGAGCCACTGATCTCCGTCGGAGGAGGACCTTACTGGAAGTCGGCACGAGCAATTCCAAATTCAAGGTTATTCTTTCTGAGAGCTGAGGCAACTCGCTCGCTTCTTAGAGGGCTTGCATTCGTGATGTCTTCAATATCATGGATCCTCTCGCGACGACTCTCGTCGTTCCGGGTCTTAGAAAATAAGCAGGGAGCTCCGATCTCTCCACCCTCGCACGGGCCTCGTGAGATAGCTATAGAATTCTATCATCTCACGGCGCCAGACATGATGAAGAACCGGTCCACGAAACAAGCTGTGTGCTCTTACACGCTCCACGTTTCGGTATCACTCCGCCTTTCAGCTTGCGAGCTCGCAGGATTTAGAAGCTTCCCGGAGCCATATCTGATGGTATCTCTTCGTTGGAGAAATCTCTTAAAGAGTCTTTGAATAGGGAAAACTCGCCGTCTCAAAAGATCAACAACCTGCGCATTCCGACGCCCAAAAATCGTCACGGTACTTTCAAGGATCGAAGTATGTTTTCAGACAATGCCGTGGTCTTGAATCGCTGTCTCAATGAGAGAACCTATCCCTCGACGTGATCAGTCGTGCCAGATTAACCCAGAATGCATCCGGCTGTTGCCAGAAAAAAATTGCCAAAAATAAGAAAAATTCGAGCAATCGAGGGAGGCCATGATCATTATGTCATTGAGTCACGATCGAAAGAGTGACAAATTCAATTCGGTGAGTCTCTCATCTTTTTCTCTCTATTACATTTTTTCAGCACGCCAACCTACAGGCTGCGAACGAACTGCGACGGATGGGAAACAATAAGGTCTTTTCGTTCCCTTGTGACGTTTCCGTCGAATCGCAAGTGAACGCTGTCGCAGCGAAAATCTTGAAGTTCTTCGGCAAAGTCGACATCCTGGTGAATAATGCGACCCGGTGTGAGCCTCACTCTGCGTCACCTCTCATCCAGAGTCCGTCTGAGAGCATTCAAAAAACTCTCTTTGTTAACCTTTTGTCACACTTCTGGGTGAGTGAGAACACGAGATACGACTTTGTGTTCCGACTACGATATTACTCCAAACGAAAACAATGCTTGTCGTCAATCAATTCGAAAACCAGGAAACCGAGAAAAATTTCCTATCAGGGTTCCTCTATTTTCAGATGACGCGAGCATTCCTGCCGTCGATGATTGAGAAGAAATCAGGGCACATCGTCGCAATATCCTCGTTGTCAGGACTCATGGGTACTTCGAAATACTCTTCATTCTGGTGAGTTTTGTATCGAAGACAGATCGATATTGTGCAGCTACCACATCACGCTAAGAAAAAATCTCAATCTCCCCCGAGCTGACGGGTTTACTAGCTACCCGCGGAGTGTGTCGACGGCGCGGGAGGCTCTCCTGACGCGAAAACTTTTCTCCCTCGTAGTGCTTCCCAGCATGGAGTGATGGGTGCGATGTCGGCAATGGCCTCTGAGCTCGAAGACTATCCGGGTATCTATGTGAGCACAGCTTGTCCTGTGGTTGAAGGCCCCAGCGTTGTCGAGAGCGCCCTACCTCCGGCTGTGAGGAAATTCCTCGATTTGGAACTTCCTTCTCAAAGAGAAACAGCCTCCCTTATCGTTGACGCCGTTTTGCGGAATCGGGAGTTCGTGATCATCCCTAGGGGTTTCACGATACTGCGCTGGATTGATCAGTGAGTTTTGTATTATTCGTTTATGAAAAATATGGGGTTTCTGCCATTCGGGAACTTGATCGACCTCTTGTGCGAGATTGGATGGGCGGTTCACTGGACTTCATGGTCAAGGGAGTTCACGCTAAAGGGTCATTCGCGAGGTTATCGTCTAAACAAACGCAATCTGGATTTGCTTGAAGAAGATAACAAAGAGCAGTCGTAGCAGAATCTCTCTGTGAGCTTGATTGTTGGTCGACCGGAAGCGCGACGGTTTCGTATCAAGTTTTGCAAAAATTGGCACGCCATCAAGACGAGTCAGAGCCTCGCGATTCTTCCGAAAATCCCGCGGAGATGCGATGAGCTAGACTTTGACGCTTCCCGTTTTTTCCCGCAGGTTACTGCCACAGAAGTTGTCGAAGTTCGCGCAGGAAGCCTTCATGAAAGAAAACTCTGGAACGCCGACGCCCCTCTTCCAGGGGTCCACACTGCGCATGACGAACGGCAATTCTTGCCATTAGGCTGCCGCGTTCGAGGGATAGCCATGTAAAGTGTATGTTCCGTAATGTATATGATGGCGCATTGAGCATTTGCATTCCTGGCGTCTGTATAAAATTGTTTCATATAGCTCCCATGGATTCAATTGTCAAACTCATCCTCGATAAAAGGAATCGACCTACTGGTTTATGTCCCGGCTGTTCTTTCTAAATCTCACAGAGGGTGCCGATGCGCGTACAGGAGATCGATCGATCGATTGCAGGGACCGGAAGAGACACGTGAAAAAGGCATTGAGCTGCGACGGCAATCTTTCGCACTACGACAGACAGTCGCAGCCTTTTGCGAACCGTATCGGTATATCGGCGCCACCGACGTCACACCGAAAATAATCACAGGGAACGAAGTCTCTTCGACAAAGAAATTCCAAACAGCGAGGAAACCTCCTCCTATAATAATTACGAATCACTAATTCGGTAATTCGTTGGACAGTCAGAAATAATCGGCGTCGCGTCGTATCGAGAAACAGGGCAAACGCCCGGCCATTCGAATACCAAGCATCGACGGCAAAGCCGTACGATACCAATCGGGCTTTATCAATCTTACGCGGGCTCGAGCAATCCGACTGATAATAATCTATCTCTCAGTTAGACGGACATGAACGTGAATGGGTCGCTGCTCTATCCTCGGGAAGTAATGACCGACCCACAGACTGTGAAGCTGTCGCTCCCTCATCAGGTGGATATTTAGGGGTCATTATTGGCGGGAAAGCGCTCTATAAATGAGGTTCGCGATCGAACGTTCTAATGGGGATCTTAGTGATCAGGTTCAGGTCAGGGAAGGATCTCGATACATACAGGAGCGAACGAATCTAGTCTGTTCTCGGAAGGCCCTTCGAAAGAGGACTATTCACGACAGGAGTGATTTCTCTCATCGAGCCCAACCAGAACAGTCCGCTCCGAGAATCTATCAAACAATCGAGCGGTCAGAACGGAACCATTTGAAGGCATTAATTCCTCATCAGAGGGTCGTTCCATTCAGGGCCTAGAAGCAGGGAACGATCGCCATTAGCTGCCGGTATGAAATAATGTTCCAGATGTGAGTCGATCACTTCTACGGCTTTGCGACGAGACAATGGTCCGGGGTGGTAGTCAGTCATAGGCATAGGCTTCGATCCAGCCGTTGGTAAATGCGTACGGTTTCTGTGTATCGTCGCTTCCGTCTCCGGGGCCATATCCCGCAGGGACAGGATTTACATGGAGCCTCGCCCGTGGGATCATGCATCGGTCTGGACAACAATACGAATACCGCGTTGTTTGAAGGTTCCGCTCGACCACGGTGGTTCAGTATGCGAGGCACGCCAGTACTCCGAGAACGGTCTCGGGTCCCGGGCCAGTGAAATGAGACGCGAGGCTCCATGAGCCGACGCTGAAGGAAAGTCCGCATCTGGGGAGCAGCAAAAAGAAATTTCTTCGCTCGAATGCCGTGGAATCGCCTCATGTATCCTCCGTTCGGAAGCCGGAATCCAATATCGATCAATCGGAGGATAACATTTTGAATCATGGCGACGTTCAATGAATCGCGAGACAGTCTGCGTTCATGGATATCACGACCTGCCGAATACCGCTCTTTCTATAGACGACGATTCTGGACTCTTCAGTGAAACTTGAGTAAGCTGCAGTTATCGGCGGTGAGATAGCTACACGCCGAGCTACACGCAACCGTGGGCTTGACTACGTTAGCGCGGAGTCTGGAGCTCCCGTAGCAAATCCGATGTTGGCTCCAAGTTATTTCGCCTACAGTTCCCAACTCGCACAGAAACGATCTCATCATCCGCGTCGAGGCTTCCGATCCTCGTGCAGATCGGGTTCCGGTCTTTTTGAAACGGCGCTGCTGGAAACGTAAACCGATAGTGAATACGCCGTGTCAGCTGCTGTCCTGTTATAAAAAGCCGGAGCGGACCAGAGATCGGCATAGGTGTATTCTTCTCGGGTACACATTTCAACATGAGGGTCTTTTTCGCCGTTGTGGCTCTTGTGGCTCTCGCCGGTGAGTGATCGTGGCTCGTGAGATGACGCGGGATATTTCGGTGATGGACTTCGAAGCCAAGCGGATATTCGACGCTATCGTCAGCTTCTCGGTCATTCGGAAACAGAAACTCATCTAAAGAATAACCCTTCGATTGCAGCTGCTAAGCAGGGTGGTGTCCACAGTGGACAGGAGCTCGTCCCTGACCGTGAGTCTCATTTCCACCTTCTGACGTAGAACACTCTCCACGACGGGATATCTACTCGACTGCTCGTTCGTCGAACTTCTGAGACCACTTCTGATTATTTTCAGTTTTCGAGGGTCAGCGCGAGTACGTTTACAACTACCGCACTCTTGTCGCCACTGGACTTCCCCGTCAAACCCAGCGCTACGCCGGTCTCGAGAAATATGGTGTCCTCACTGTTCAGGTCAACGAGCAGCAAGGAAACACCAAGATCCTTGGTCTTCGTCTCCGTCACGTGATGTCCGGCTCCTTCGATAAGGAAGTCGAAGATATCGAGAACCGTCGTGTCGAGGGTGTCGCTCATTCCACTGAGGAGACCATCGAAAACTACGGTCCCGTCTTCGTCAAGGTCCAGGACAACGAAGTCCAGAAGCTCAAGGCTCCTGAGAACATGCCCGAAGAGATCATCAACATCTACCGTGGTATTGCCTCCATGTTCACCGTTGGCAAGCCCCAGTCTCTTGAAGGCGACGACCATCCCTTCATGTCCGAGGGTTCCAGGTTCGGCAACGAGCAGCAACCCATCGTCTACCGTCGTCAGGAACAGGGTATCGCCGGAAACTTCGAAACCACCTACGAAATCCTCTCCAACCCGGAACAATGGCATCACCAAGAGCAGTACCAGCAGCTCAACCTCACCAAGACCAGGAACTACATGAAGCAGGTCGGTCCCGACGGTCGTTACCTCCAGAACGGTCACGACGGTCGTGGTTGCCAGAACGTCTGCCGTACCCACAAGCCCGAACAGCTCGAGAAGAACATGCAGCCCGAGCTCTCCGACTGGATGAAGCCCACCGCTGAGGGCTGTCCGGTCAACTTCCACCCGAAGACCGATCTTGTTGAGGCTTTCACCACCTACAACTACAACATGACCGTCGAGAAGGGAGGCAAGTTCGCTCTCATCCACGAAGCTCAGGCTCTCGACAAGAAGATCCTCCCCCTCCGCAAGCAGCAGATCAAGACCGTTTCCCTCATCAAGCTCCACCTCGTCGAGGAGCGTCCCGTCACCGAGAACTGGAACCAGCAGCAGGCCACCAAGTCCTACGATGAGATCACCTACCGTTTCCCCGAGGGCCACCAGTGGGACCTCCAGTACCTGTCCCTCTTCAACAAGGGTGAGACCAGTGAGATCATCAAGGACCAGATCGTCCCCATGATCGAGGATCTCTCCGCTAAGATCGTTTCCGACAACGTTGAGATCAAGAGTCAGACCGGTGACAAGATCATCCAGCTCACCATGGTTCTCGGCAGCCTCTCCAAGCGACAGCTCCAGTCCCTCTGGGAGGTTCTCGGTGAAACCGCCACCGCAAAGTCCGCCACCGAGCTCGACAACGTCCAACGCAAGGTCCTCATCGACACCATCGCTCTCTCCGGCTCGAACAACGCCACCGAGCTCCTTCTCGACCTCATCCAGCAGGACAAGCTCACCACCCTCGAGACTGTCGACGCCCTCCAGAACCTCAAGCAGAACCTCGTCAAGCCTAACATCAGGATCATGCAGCAGCTCAAGAACGTCTGCACTGAGCCCAAGTACCAGCAGAAGCGTACCGTCTTCGGTACCGCTTGCCTCGCTTTCGCCGACGTCGTTCGCGGCCACTGCGACGCCCACAGCCACAAGAGCACCCCCCACCACAACCAGCAGCAACAGGAGCAGTCCCAGAACTCCGCCCAGCAGGGCCACCCTTGCGGCGAGCAGGAGTACAGACAGTTCGTTGAAGCTATCCGCTCTGAACTCCACTCCGCCAAGGACTTCACTCAGCAGACCATCTTCATCCAGACCCTCGGTCGTCTCGCCCACCCCAAGGCCGTCGAGGCTCTCGTTCCCTACATTTACGGTGAACAGGAGGTCATGCAGCAGCTCAGCCAGATGAAGGACGCCTCTGAAGACGATTCCGAATACGTCCAGTTCATCCGTCAGATCGCCATCTACGCCCTCCACGGCGCCGCCCAGAAGCACGGAAGCGCCATCCAGCCCATCGTCCAGGGTATCTACTTCGACAAGCAGCAGGACTACGAGCTCCGTACCGCGGCCCTCTCCGTTCTCCTCGCCACTCAGCCCACCGAGGCCCTCTTCAACCGAATGGTCATCGAGCTCGGTCAGGAGAAGGATCTTGAGGTCGCCTCCTACACCTACTCCGCCCTCCACCATCTCGCCAACTCCACCCTCCCCTGCATGCAGCAGACCGCTCGCCGTGTCCAGAACGTCCTCGGCGCTCTTCCCGAACAGGGCTACGGAACCCACCAGTCCAAGTGGGGAGCCAAGACCCGTTACAACCCGATCACCAACTCCGGTCTCAAGGGACAATGGGAAGTGACCCAGTCCAACGTGTCGGCCATCCCCCGCGCCGCCTGGGCCTCCCTCAGCAGCAACAAGGGTCCCTACGTGTCCACCATCGCCGACTTCAGCCTGGTGACCAAGGGTCTCGAGAACCTCAACCAGTTCATCCACAAGCAGGGCGGTATGCAGAAGATCATCGAGAACGTTATGCAGCGTATTCGCCGTGACACCCGTCACGCTGTCGGTGACCACTCTGTCGAGCAGGTTCTCCAACAGATCGAGGAAGCCATGCAGTTCAACACCCAAGAGAACGACGAGCAGCCCCGTCTCGTTGTTTCCGGTTCCCTCCTCGGTCACGAGGCTTACCTCCCCATCGACAAGGAATACATGACCAAGGTCGGCCAGAAGGTCGGTCAGAAGATCGCTCAGCTCCTCAGCGAGGGCGGTATCGAGAAGACCTACCGTTACGTCCGCGTTCTGATGCCCCGCACCTACGTCCACGTCGCCCCCGCCGTCAACGGTCTCCCCGTCATCCTCAGCAACCGTCACCCGATCGTTGTTTCCCTCTCCCTCCAGGATCTCCAGACCCGCTTCGAGACCGCTAAGGGTCAGATGCAGCTGAAGCCCACCGTCATCGCTGTTGCCGGTCTCATCAAGCCCACCGTTTACCACACCTCCGTCCACTCCGCTCTCACCGTCAACCCCGTCCAGAAGACCCGTTACGCCTACGGTGTTCGTGCCATCGAGCAGACTCGCGCTACCGTTCCCCTCGATGTCGCCTTCCAGTACACTCCCCAGACCCAGACCCTCGCCTTCACTATCCGTCCTCGTTTCGAGACCGTCTTCTTCCACAAGACCCGCGCCATGACCTTCAAGACTGAAGCCCTCCTCATCCGCGGTGTCGACAAGCCTCTTCTCGAGCGCTACACCGTCATCAAGACCCAGCAGAAGCCCTACGTCTTCGACCGCACCCTCGGACAGAAGCTCGGCATGGCCGTCCGCGTTCAAGGCATGACCGAAAACGAGGAGTCCGCCATCAACTTCATGAAGCACCAGAAGGCTTTCGAAAGCAACCCCATGTCCTCCCTCATCCAGCAGCTCTCCAACGAATGGTTCACCCCCCGTGCCTGGACCGTTCGCATTGAGAAGAACGAGCAATGGCCCGCCCAGGAAATCAAGATGATCGTCCGTCTCGGCGGAAACCTCTTCCAGCAGCGCATGCAGCAGAAGGAGGGTCAGCAGCAGCAGCAGCAGACCCTGTCTAAGGAGCAGCTCGAGAAGGAGCAGAAGACCCAGCCCAAGGACATGCGCATGATCTCCTACGAACACGAGTACGAGAAGATCACCGGTCGCAAGCCCGAAACCCAAAAGCTCGAACAGTCCCTCGAACAGATCGCTCAGCAGACCGAAAAGTACTGGTCCCAAGTCGACCAGGAACTCGGACAGCAGCTCAAGAAGGACAACACCCAGGTCCGCTCGATCGAATACATCATCTCCGCCGAAGGAGAGAAGAAGTCCGCCAAGATTCTCGGTCACGCGATCCTCGCCTCCCTTCCCTCGAAGCAGGCCAAGCTCGCCGAGCTCACGATGAAGGTCTGGCAGAAGCCCATCTCCCTCAAGGTCCGCGCCGTCGTCGCTTCGACCAAGACCCCCCAGCCTTTCGAGACCCAGATCCGTGAGGAGCAACAGCGTGGCGTCGCCGCTTTCGTCGCCGAGCTCGAGACCCGCTCGACCGGCAAGCAGCTCTACTCTGGAAAGATCGAAATGAGCAAGTCCGATGAGCAGAAGCAGCTCATGAAGACCTCCGCCGAACAGAAGCCCTGGTACTACAAGCAATGCGAGGAGGACAAGAAGGAGCAGAAGTCCGAAATGTCCACCGCCTGCGAAAAGCTCCGTGTGCAGAAGTCCGCTCTGAACAAGCTCCGTTTCGAAATCGAACTTCCCGAACAAGTCCACGAGCGTCTCTTGAACGCTTCCCACAAGATCCGCGAGACCCTCAAGGCTCGTCTCTACAGGAACCTCCGCGCCAACTACGTCGCCGAGAAGAAGACCCAGGACAACAAGATCCAGGGAGAGCTCATCTACTCCGAGCAGTCCCCGGAAATGCACATGGCCAACCTAACCATCCGCACTCCTGATCATGAGGAGCTCCGTTTCGAACGCATCGCTCTCCCCAAGGCTCTCCGTCCCAACACCATGTGGACCCTCAAGCAGCAGATCAAGGCCGCCCTCAAGACCGACCGCCCCGAACGTGAGTCCTCGAATCTGAACGTTGAGTCTCTCCGACTAAGACTCTCGTTGCACCTCCTTTATGCCGATTTCGATGACGAAAATTATGATGTAACGAATCATTCCCCTTCCCCCATTCCACGGACGTGAGAAAATCGAAATTATTATTGCAGCCACCTGTGTCTACAACGGCCACAATCTCCGCTCTTTCGACAACGTCACCCTTTCCGCCAAGAGCATGAAGGACGGTGAGAAGTACATCCTCGCCCGTGAAAACAGCGAGAAGCCCAGCTTCACCATCCTCGCCAAGAAAATGCCAGGAGGCCAACAGACTGAGGTCGAGATCGTTCTCCGTGACGCCACCCTCCTCAAGCTCACTCCTCCCAGCCCGCGCAACGGTGCCACCTACCAGGTCCACGTCAACTCCACCTCCCTCGAGGTCGCCCCCAAGAAGACCGAAGTCGCCCAATACGGTCCCCAGAACAAGAACATGATCACTCTTCACGTCGAAGAGCACCAGCAGGGCCAAGACACCCTCGTGATCAAGGTTCGTGACCAGCGCATGCGCATCGTCTACGACGGCAAGAACCTCAAGGTCGAGATCGCCAAGCAGATGCTCAAGGGTCAACTCACCGGTCTTTGCGGCAACATGAACAACCAGAAGAGCGACGAGTTCACCGGTCCCGAAGGTTGCAAGTACGAGCGCGAGGAAGACTTCCTCCGCTCGTTCGGTCTCACCAAGCCCGAGAACCACGGAGTCCAGGGAGCGTGGAAGTGCCCCGAGGGTGTTCACCCCCGTGCCGCCTCCAGCCAGGACCTCCACAAGTTCCAGCAGAAGAAGCAGCAATACAGTGAATACATGCAGCAGAGGTCCCAGCAGCGTCAGAACTACCGTGACGAGCAGCAACAGATGACCGAGGAGACCAAGATGCTTCCCTTCGATGGAAAGCTCTGCTTCTCCACCGAGCCCGTCCGCGCCTGCAAGGAAGGTCGTCGTCAGCTCGAAACTGAAACCCAGAGTGTTGAGTTCATCTGCTTGAAGCAGAGCCACCCGCGCACCATCCAACTCCAGCGTGAGGTTCAGACCGAGAAGATCGCTTCGAACCTTCCTCGCTCCGGCCAATACGGTCTTGTCTACCACGACGTTGAGATCCCCACCCGCTGCGGCCACTAATTTGACCATGAATAAATTTGTTGAAACCTAAATGCCCTCTTCCAACTCGAGATATTGGAACACCATCGTGAACCCACCCTCATCTGTGAGGCAATCATTCGACAGTTCCGTACGAACTGGAAGCCGATGCATTCTCGATGGGATCGCTCGGTCGAATTTTCGCATGAAATTCGGCTGACGGAAAGGCGAAAATACGAATTAATGCTGCGTTCTGTGTTTTTTACTGCTGTAATATTACTGCAGCGTTACTTGATAATTTTCGCGACAACTCCTGAAGAAAATCCGCTCAACTCCGTCTCGATAATATTACATTCATTTATTATTCTTATCACATTATTGTGCAGTATGTATTTTGTTCGATTCTGTTCGCCATCCCATCAGCGATCGCGCATACACAGCGAATTATGTCCGCTATTGCAAGTTTCGTCCGACGAGCCTCTGCGTATCCGCGGGAGATGAATCTTAGAACGAGCTCACCAACTCCGGATGCGCCGCGGCCTTCCTCTCTGCCCTCTTCCCGAAGCGAGCTCGTCCGATCGAACTCATCAATCTATTATCGGACAGCGAAGGGAGACGTTGAGAGCCCACAACGATATCTGGGAGTTGTCCAAGCCGCTTCCCCTCCATAAGGGGATCGATCAAAAGTTTTCTCATTTGGCCTGCTCCCCGATCTGACTCGCCTCGGCTTCTCTCTCACCACCGGGAACGGGATCTCATGTCTGCAGGGAAAACTGACGAAATTCCTGGAGGAACGAAAAAATACACGAAATCAGGAAACGGCGCGTGGGAGCGTTCAGCACTGTCACCGATGACCGAAGAAATCCTCATTCGTTCGGCTCCGTTTATTGAACTCGGCTCGGAATCCCATGTTCGGAGCCATGGAATCACAGGACGATTGCAGTCGATGATTCATCGAAGCAAGAAGCGATGATTACGGGTTTTGTTTTTGGAAGTGGGTGCTGGACGTCGCAAGGACTGATGAAAAAAGTTTCCTCTCTTGAACCCTCTAGTTTCACGCATCTCTGCTCGTTCTACGCGAGGTATGATCGTGACGGCGCCGGCGGCGTTCCGGTCGAAGGAAGATGTCATTCCGACATGCGATTCCCTCCTCTCTCCGGGCACGGTCGGCGGGGCTCGAACCTGTTCATCCGTGCCATTGAATTCCGTGCTCGATCAGAAGCATTCCGATTCAATTCGGTCCGACGGAGTGCAGTGATCACTAATGGTGAACTCCGGCTCAAGTTTTTACCTGTGTCCGATTAGAGCGAGTTCAACTACCTCGGCGGGACCGATTCAGCGAAAGCTCCCCGCGCCGCGCATTGGTGAGCTCGGGATTTTCGACAATTCGAATCGATGCGGGTCCACGGGGAATCTGCAGTACGCCAGCCGGCGGAGTGAGGTCGGCACTAGGAACTCACAGAATAATTTTCCGATTCATACGTTAGTCCTGCACACAATCCACATGAGTTTTTGCTGAGCAGGATTATTTATGCAGAGCAGCTCGGTCAGGAAGTGTCTGCAGGTCTATGAATTCATAGGCCCAAAAGAGAAAAAGCGGAGGGAGAGGCTCCTCGAAACGTTAATACGGGAGGAGATCGGGCACCTATCCTCCTAATGAGGAGGTTTTACCAATATCTATTCCGAACTGCAGATTCAGAAGAATCTTCTCGAAGGATCGCACGTGACTGATGGACTCTATCGAAGAGCGATAGAGAGGACTCCCGTGTTCGTTCATCCTGATCTGGCTGGTGAATAAAACCGTATCGGACAGAAAGTACGATGTCATCCGACTGAGCCGAACTTTCAGACATCGATGCTGATCATGGATTATTCGGGGTCGAATGAGCAAGTCTCGGTTCCATCCAATCCGGGTACTATCGATCGGAATGGAAGTTCCGTGCAGGAAACGTATTTTCCCGGAACGACTCGATCTCCCAAGCTGGAGGATGGACGATGTCACTTGAGGTGAAGGTGAGTGCACATTCCCGCGATATATCCGCGCCGACGGAATTCGTTCCTTTCGTTCCTTGAACCGGTTGGTGCGGATTCCATCCAATCTTTCGGACCTCCCAGAGTTTGAGCATCTCGGACCTCTCCTTTTGGCTATACCATTCACGCCCGCTCCGCGGAAGATCGCCCAACATACGTGGCAGGGACAGGAACAGTTCCCAGTCAGCTGACCAGCGAACGAAGAGGGTCATCATCGGAGGAATGAGATCCGCCACCGCGGTAAGTCGCGATCCACAGGGATGCGGATCTGTTGCTATCACTCGTCGAATCAGGGACCAGGCTGAGGCAGGGAAATGCTCAACACAGATGGACCCTATTTACCGAGAATCCAGTGCTGGCATATTCGGTGCTGGATCTGTGTGAATTGATCCAGTATCGAAGCACATCACACCGCGGAGTGACCACACACGCCCCAATTCCCAGACCGCCTGGTTGTCGTCATGAGGAGAATCATGCCTCAGGCTAGACAACACAAGGGACGTATTCTCCGCACGTTCCCGCAGCCTGTGGCCTTCACGGACTGTACGTTCCGATCGACTCGGGAGGTTTCTGGCTTCGGAGGGGGAAAGACGATTGAAACCAGAAATAACGTCCCCGACCGCCGTGCATTCCCATGCAAACGCATCCGCTTGCTCCTCGAAGGTCGGACCATCTTGGTATAATAACAATAAGTAATAAACAGTCCCATCCTCCTAATTTCTTACAAGCTTGCCCTGACTTGAGCCATTCGTTGCAGCCATCTCGTTTCTCGAAGTCGGTCAGATATGATATAGAGAGCAGGCACAGCACAAGCAGCGCCGGCAATATCAGATTTTCTAAAACATCGTCTGCCCCAACAGAGCAGGATCAGGATCCTCGGTCGTCGTCGGCGCTGAAACGACGTGCTCCCAACGAGATAACGTGGGCGGTCCCAGGGGCGCAGAATGCGCTGTGCCCAGCCGTCACAGGAAACGAGTCTCACTTCAGCCTTCGTTTGCCTCATCTCTCCTCTTCCCCCCTTGCCTGAGCTTACCCAAGCCCCCGCGTGGTCATTAGCCCGCCACCATCCGAGCGCGTTTATCCGTCCTCCGCTCGACGTCCAAAGTTCCGTGCTCCCCGACTCCGACCAAAATTATGGATCTTGAAACATTCATCTACGCTCCGAATCGCGCTTCCTCACGGTATAAGGGACTTCCTCTGTCGCACAATTCGGTGCGATAGACGCTCTCGAATCCAACTGAACGACCTCAATTCGACCTGCTCCCGGGGCCTGTCCAGATAGAGACCTCCTAGAGATCTTTTCTGAAGATGCCGAGGATCTCCAATCACCTTCACTCCATGGGAGACTTCGCCAGAAACACGAACAATATAATAATAATAATAATAATAATAAGAATAATAATAATACCGTCGGAATTGGATTCCAATAATGGTTTCCGAGTCGAACTTCATTGGGCAGTTTCGATTAGTGTAAAGTTGGAGGAAATCACGCGTAGAGCGAATTTCCGAAGAGGAGGAAAATAAAATAATGGTGGCGCGGCACCGCGTGAATACGCGGACTCATTTCATTCGTGGTCCTCCTCTTGGTGAGAATTCACGTTTCCTCACATCAAATCGTGAGGGTGGGCGCTAGGCCGCACGCGAGGGCGACTGATCCCATTCTCGAGCTCTCCGCGGAGCCCTCATTCAAAACTCGTTTCTGCGCTCTCACTCCGCGCGCTTAGAGTCCTCAGCCCCAGTCCCTCTGTTTCACTCGTTTCGCAAACTCGGATCGGACCTCGCTCCGAGTTTCGCGAAACTCGGATGGGTTCAGCCAAGCAATTACTCCGACCGGATCTGGAGGTATCGGAGGAAAACGATTGCTCTGATCCTCGCCGAACCCTCACGTTCGAGAACCTACTGCTGCTTGCGATTTCTCCCGCCATCTGACTCACCTAGTCACTTTCCGTGATACATGGAGCAGATGGGTGGTCAAAAGTTGCCCTCCAGAGCAATAGCTGGCGATTTCCATATTTTTCAGGGAGCACTCCGTCTCACGCGTTGAATCGATGCCCGAGAGATGCCATCGGATGCCTTCGTATCCGCTACCAGTGTGGCGTCGAGTGGCGATAATATTGCTCGTCAGCTGCATATTCGCTCCGAGTCTCGTGGGAATTCAAACAAGCCAATATCGAAGGATGGTGTTGACGTCGCGCCCCTCCGGATCATAGAGTCTCTTCTCTGGGCTCCCGTTTCCTCCAGGACCGACGTCATGATAATTAAAGCTGTGACTTGATTACGACGCCTCGCGCGTAGAGAATATGGGGGTGAGAAGAGTTTACTCAGTCGGCCGAGAGATCATCGCTCCTGAGAGTCTCGTTGAGTATATTCAATTTTCGACGTATCGGGAGCCAGCAATCGGGCGAATTCTCCTTCTATTGCGTGCGCGAGACCTTCAACAAATTATTCCCCAAAGGTCGGGAGCAGGAGGACGCTTGTAGACTTAAGAACGATTGCGGCGACCCAGGAGTCGACCGGGAAAGGTCCAAGAATTCTTGATTCGACCGAGAAGCTGGTCTCACCTCGACAAATGGAGACGACGTTGGGCTTTTCCGTGAGAGAGTTTCTCTCCAATCAGTCCAAGCATGCAAACTTTTGGACAATGAGATGAACATCGAATACAGTGAGAGCCATCAGACCCTTCTCTCCATTGTTCTGTTGGGGTCGGGGCGCTCTTGAGTCATCATTAGTGAGGATCCGCTTCGCGAGTGGAGCTCGGCTTGATGAATTCTTTGAAAAAAAAAGAAGAGCTTAGCTCAAGCGTCTCTCAGGTAATTGAGGAGGACCGAAATCATACCATCCCACAGGTATTGAGCTCCATTTTTTTCGGAGGCCGAATATTCGCTCTGAGGAGAAAAAATCCGCGAATCGCGATGCTCCATTTCGTACAGTCGCTGGGAACCGTAGGGGAGACGGTAGTTCGGACGTCTAGAGCGGTGGCACGTCCGTTCCCGATTCGAGCCGATCTACGATTAGATCGTACAATATCGGATTATGATGGGTC